TTATCTCCTCAGGAGAAATGTGGTTTCTATATATCAAGCGTTGCCACTTTGCTGTTAGAACGAGTTACCAGGCAAGGCTTTCCCTGAGATCTCTTGGCTCATTCAGTCTCCCCAGTTTTTACTGAGCTAAGCAGGTACCTTCCACCCACCATTCCTGTTGGGATGATTGTTTGTGACTTTCCTTGCCAAAGCCTGGACTGTCCTGGATGTGTTCTATTTCTGCAGAATTAAAGACATGCCAGATACAAACCATGCAACAAATTCTTAGACAAAAGTTAGAATTGTAATGAACTATCACAAATACAGTCCTGAGAGCTTTACCATTGTGATGGAGAACGAAAGCCAGAATTTAACTTTTCATGAATGCGTTCTTCCACCTGCCCACGTTTTATTCTGTTGAGGACACACAGATTAGCATTCTTTATTGCTCAAATTCGGTAGCAACATTTCTGAATAACTATGCTCTTAAAATTCTAAAACAGATGTTTTCAATTGTTTCCTCATTGATAATCATGCTAGTTAATTAGGATTGGCTCTAAGGTCTAGAAAAGACAGATTGAGTAAAAGCTCTTTTGTGCACATCTCCATCCCGCACAGCATTAACATAGTAAGTATCTAAAGCATCTTCAGATGTTTTCTTTGCATCTCACAAAAATGAATAGCTCAAGCCTCAGAACACCTCTGTGTTGGAGGGAATATTTATTTTCTTTATGAAGAGGGGGCAACGCATACATAAGAGTTTCTGAAACTTGTAAACTTGGTTCATTCGAGCACCCAACCAGCAGGTTTATTCTACGTCCTATATAACCTTATTTAATAGAACTGGCTTTTAAAAATCACTCCTGCAAAGCACTACACCTGCTGCTGCTGCCTGCCTCCTGGGAGCCATGCTACAGGTGTGTGGCCAGGTGAAAGCTTCTTTTTCCCTTCCCTAAGTCTGCTGAAAATCTAGCCTGAAACCCTCCACGTTATGAGTAGTGTTGGAATAACGTGTGCTTATCCCTCAGGTTTGTCTCTGCCCTGCAGTCAGGAACTGGCTGGCAGCCTTTGGCAACATGCTCCTGACTCCCACGTGCACCAGGGACGCACAGTGACTTTCAAAAGTAATGCAGTTATCACTGCTCACGGTTTCTAGTTAGCCACAGCTGCAGCTTCTGTACACTTTGCTGATGCATTTAGTCCTTCATTTTAGTTGGAAGAGTTTGATTCTTTTGCCTGAAAACCTTCTTGAACTATTGCAGTAAAATAGCTGAGATCTACTCAGTCTGAGCTTCTAAATTCAAATCCCACTCTATTTTTCTGTATACACTCCATTTTATACAAGTAGACTATTAGAGAACGTCTCACTGAAAGTATTACATCAGTTTTCAGAAGAAAAAAGCATCCATTTGATTTTGAAATTGCTGTTAAAAACACTTTAAAGTCAGTGAAGAGGAGGCTATTCTCTTCTTTCCCAAACATTTCTTAGAATAGCACTCATTTGGAGGGTCTGTTCACACACTGATGTGAGGCTGTGTTACACCTGCCATAATAGGGAAGTGTAAAAGGTGAGTTTTGTTGATTAATCCTTCCCTTGCTACAACCTCAAGATTTAACTGAATCATCCTTCCGCAGAGAAGCAGCAGATGTTCAGAGCATTCCAGCTTGGCCTACCCACTGGAAAACAAATGTGTGATATAAAGTCTACAGTAGTTCAGTTATCTACACACACATAAGCAAGCAAGCTTGTACCCAGTTCCTGAAGAAATCTTAAAAAAAAAAAAAAATCTTTAATTTAACCCTTTCAGAAACCAACTCTCGCTGGAGAACACAGTAACTACCAAACCTTCATTCTCCCTTAACTGCTACTTTGGGAAACCAGCTGCACGCAAAACTTAGATTCAAACAGCATGTCTTTCTGAGGCACAAAATTTGCCTACATCCTGAGAAAGAGCACTTGAAATGTAATGTTTCCTTACTTCCTAGTGACACTGAAGGTAAGATGCTATAGCATAAAATGCATGTTAGTTTTTGCTTGTCCTACTCACTCTGATGAAAGCTGGCCAGTAGGCTTCTCTGCAGTGTATTTAGCTGCCTCTGCCTGAGCAACTGGTTTCCACACACTTGGTGAGACCATGCAGCCAACGTACTGTGATCACTATTCACCTTCACTAAATGGCTAGAAAGTTTCATATTGTTTTTAATAAGTAATGTATATAAATTTTAATATTTTATTATTATTTGCTCATATTAATTTTTAAAAGCAATGACATAATTCAAATCCAGGAATCTTTCAAAAGTTGCATTTTTGAGGTCTTGGGAAGTTCTTTGCTGAGGGTAACTTTGCATGATGTCAATGGAGATGCATCGATCCAGCAGGGACTATGCTTCTGTAAGCAAATGATGGGTAAAAATTCTCTGCATGACACAGGCAGAGCCAAGAGAGATCTTTCATTTATTCTTGTTTACAGAAGATTTGGTCTAGTGTGGGTTCTGTGGGGCTGATTTCGCCATTTATCATCCACCACTTGGAAAACTCCTATGTTTGAAAAAATGGGGATTGGGAGGTGAAATGGTACAAACAACATGAGAAACTGCTTCATAATCCAAATACCAGCATTGGAGAACATTAGCAGCTGCAGACCTCCAATGAACTCACTATGATTGTTGTTAGTTCATTTTGGTTTTCATTTCATTTGTTAAGAAAATTCATTATTACCACTTCTCTCTGTCAGGGAAAAAAAATAAAGTTATGGCAAAAGTTATTGCAGCAAGTATTTGATACTGAAAACTGCCATGAGAAACAAGACTAGAGTTTAACAGACTGGAGTTCTATACAAGAGTAGATCCCTGATTTTTTTGTTAAAACTCTTTTCATTAAAATAGTTCTATAATTCCTGCATTTTTAACCTGCCATATACCATTTATCTTAAAACTCAATCATTGCTCAAGTATTTTTTGAAATAAGTGACAGGAAGAAAATTTAACGTGGATAAATAATGAGAGTGCAGACGGCTGTTGGGTATGTACTCAGGTGAGGATGGGATGTGGCACAAAGCACCTGCCAACATTCAGTTCTTTGCCTTACACCCCTACAGCCCAGCTAGTCAAAAGATCATGACAACACAGGGCCCTTGCCTTGTTTTGAGTACAGAGAGATGCACATTGCACTACTTTAAGGGAACAGCAGCTGTGACACTACCCAGAAGGTTCACAGAAAGGCGTTTAATCTCCTTTCACCTTGTTGGCAAGGACCAGTAGCTCAGATATCAGCACAAGATCATGTCTTCCAAATTTTCTCTGAGTTCAGGAAGTCCCTTCGTTACACCTGGCACACCAGGAGAAGCTAAGTCCAAACTTAGCAAATTGGAGCATAAAAAAGGGATCATTGAGAAAGACATAGTTTATTTTTACTTGTATTCTCCCTAATTCTGTTTAGAGCATGAAGCCTGAAGGCAGCAAACAAGAAAACAAGATAGTTCCCCAAGGATTTTTACATATTTCCCTGATACGAAAATCCAAAGCAGTAAAAAGGGAGGTTTTGGGTAGCTACAGCCCACTCAGCTATAGGCACCCAGCTATAGGCATCATAGCCTATAGTATGCAAGCACACTTTTTAACTATGCTTCCTAAGGCAGAAACACAAGAGTTAAAAGGCTACTTGTAAAAAGTATGTACAAGATTTAGAGAAATTTAAAGGCAAACTTAGGAGTGGGTAATGACGGAAAATCTTTGCTGCTGCACATGAGCCCACAAAAACTTCTATTTTCCTGCAGTTCAGTCCACAGCATTTTGTGCAGAGACCTCAAGTAGACCCAAGCTAAAAACCATTCTTCCCCATCTGCCATGTTACAGATCAAATATTGTTTCAAACAAAAGGACAAATGGGCAGAGCATATCTGAAAGAAACTCATCAGTCAGGGAAAAAAAAAGCGAGAAGACTATTCATATGTTCTAAGCAATTGTCTTTGCTTAATAATAATCATTTTCATGGTGATATACTACCAGCTAGATAATGTGATGACTGTTTTAAGTGCAATAACACCTGGGAAATTATAAGAAGATACAGAATGATTGAGGTTAGAAGTGCCCTTTGGAGATCATCTAGTCCAACTCTCCTTGCTCAAGCAGGGTCATCTAGAGTTTGTTGCACAGGATTGTGTCCAGGCAAGTTTTGAAGATCTTCAGAGAAGGAGACTCCACAACCTCTCTGGACAATCTCCTCCAGTGCTCTGTCACCCTCACAGTCAAGATGTTTTTCCTAAAATTCAGATGGAACTTCCTGTGTTTGTTCAGTGCCTACATAAAGGTAGTGATAGTTGGAACAGGCATCATCATCTAAGGCAGGCACACACAGGCAGGCAGATATATGCAAGTAGAAGGTAAACCACAAAAGCCTGTGACTTTCCTTACAGACTGAGAATACAAAGATATACATATTGCTTGGTTGCCACTGTAAGTGTCTAGGGACAGCACATACAGTGATGGAAAAGAAAGTCTAGCCAAAGGAGAAATGTGGTCATGAGTCTACAGCCAGGAAGTAAGCTGAAAGAGAAAGCTTTTCTGGGCTTCAGTACAGACCTGTTGCTTCCAATTATTTCTTTCTGCCATGTTCAGAAATAAGATTTCCAGTATATTGCTTGAAAATAATCAAGGCTATTTAATCTGAGAGGTCAGTAGGCAGATGCCCCTTTGAAAGCCTGTCTAGACGAAAGGAAGCTATAGCATAGAGCTATTTGGATCACTTCCCTGTACATGTACTTCCCCTTAGTACATGTCTTTCACTCACTCCTTCCATCTCACTTGGCTAGGACAGGTTCTTCCTCATTTTTTCCTCTTGCTGCTTCCCTTCATGTTCTGTTTCTTGCTCATCTACTGCAGATATAGAGGCAATCTGTACTCACAAGGTTGGGCTTAGTCAAAAATCACAGGCATTTTTCAGTATAATGTTACAGCCAGGCTTTACTGATGTTTCATTTGCAGTGTGATGTGTGAGGCAGTGAGGAAGATGGAGGAAGTGCTCAGCTACAGCAGAAGAACTTCCCGTTGTTGAGCGATGTGTCATCATGAAGCCCCTGAGGGGGCTCCACCTTGGTCTGCAGACCACATATGTTGCATCTGTCACTCCATGGACCAAAACTACCCCACGAAAGTCCATCACCTATTAGCACAGTGGCATCTGAGCATCTGAAACGGATGTTGTTGGCTGCTGTGTCGTCACCTCCTCCTTGGGATTTCTCTGTTCTCAGTGAGAAGGAGATCAAGTAGCCTCTAGGGCAAACCTGGAAGCTGGTCCAGGTTCCCCACCTGTCAGAAAAAGCAGACAGAGGGATGTCTAGTCTCTGTAGACCACTAGTGCTCCTTCTTCTTGCCATGCTGTCCTCAGGCTTCACAGTTCTCTTTCATCAACCAGTGCGACATACTGCTGAATTCTGAGGCTCATGACTTCCTCCACTTGTCCCCTTTCTTTCAAGGCTGACCTTTTATCTTTATTTATAACTTATCAGGAAAACACCAGGGAATCCCAGACTGGATCATTGTGATCCTATTGAATATTCCCCGGATAGTCTGAGCATGTTTTATGGTAAATCTCTGATCTTTTTCACATGTGCACATGTACACATCAGACAGCAGTGAGAACAGATACCTTGCAGTGCAGTGCTATTCATATCAACAGGCTCAGGACCTCAACCAAAGCATTTCTAAGTGTATGACTTTCCTCATATTTGCCTCTTGTATTTCAGATTTCCAACAGGGATTATAACCCTGGGATTATACTTCTGGTGCTCAAAGTGCTCTGCAGAGTTTTCAAGAGAAAACAGAAGACAGCAATGTGAAATAACATGTTCATCTGCAGAACAAAGAAAACCAAACATCCATTTTTGTTTTCTTTATACTCCAGCACCAGTGCAAAGGAAACAATCAGAAAAGAGACCCCTGCAAGTGGGAACACCTATAGTTGCTTTGTGAGCCAGTGCATGACAAATGAGAGTAATCGCAGTGGTACTTACTTTCCCACCAAAGATTCAATGGTTGAGTTATCTTGGCAGCGCAGGCGGATGCCGTTCAGAGCTGTGTCATCTCTTCCAAACTGGGAGGGCTCCACCTGCAGTGGGAGACACACAGGGCTAGAGGCAAAGGCAAGGTGGAGGAAGGCTGGGAAATGTCCTTTGGCTGTCTGTCATTAGCAGTCCCGATTCCTTTCTGTACTGAGAAGCAGAAAATACCTTGGGAAGTGCATGGGAAAAGCTGTCTGTCACACTGGGAAACTAGGATATATCTAAAGAACCTTTTAAACAAGTTCTGCACTAGGTTTTCTAACTCCTGAACCAATGTGTAAGAAAGACACTCTTAATCCCAGCTGATAAGTTACTGGCAGCTTCCTCTGTCCTAACTCCAGCAATACGTTTTAGCATTTCTGTGGCCTCTCCCAGCAAGCCAAATGTGCATGATGTGTATGCCAGCACATCTCTTTCCAGTTTGAGAGCAAAACAATTCCAGCACTGACCTGTGCTGGTATTTGATAGGACATTTTTGCTGCATTTGGTAGGAAACCTTCTGTCCTGCTCATGTCTTTGCTTGTTGATGTAACTACGGTGGCAGCATTTTCTAGGCTAAGTTTACCAAAAGACTCGCTATTTTATGTTCAGGAGGAGCAAAAGCTCTGCAACAGGGCCCTAGACTTTGGACAAGACTTTCCTGGGAGGTGGAGAGGTTGGGAAGTGGAGCACAGGGACAGGAGATGGCTGGAAATGAGAATTTTACCTTGAGCGCAAATCCACTGGCATAACCATGGCGACAAAATTGCTGATGCCCCCAGTGGCCCCAGTGGCCTCCGTTGGGCACTGCGAGGACAGAGATGTATTCACGTGCTCCTGTGTCCTGCAGGCAGAGCGAGAGGAGCAGAACAAGCGTGGCTGGTGTGAGGAAGTTCATGTTTTCCGATCCCAATCTGCTGAAAGAGAGCTGGTAGATCAGCAGAGGAATTTATATCCTGCCAGGGCAGGTTGGATTTTCCCATCAGTTCATTGAGGAACACTATGGGAACAATAACTCTTCTCCAGGGAGCAGCACAGCACTTGCTGACCTGCTCTCTGTGCCAGCAACAAGCTCCCTTGGAAGCACAGAGAGTTCAGCAGTAAACATATGGCAGATGCTGTGGCTACAGGGCTATTTGTCATCACTGAACGGCTGCACAGAGATCTTTGTGGCCCTTTTTGAGTTCAGGGATACCTGTAGAACAACTTGACAGATAGATTATTGCATGAGAAAAAGAAATCAGGACTACGACAAAGAGTCTTGAAATAAGCAACCAACTTAATCCTCTCAACGAATAGGTCAAATTAAGCTTCTGCAGATAATGCCCTGAAAAAAAAAAAACAGAACAGAGCTTAGGGAAGGGAAAACTCTGGCACAAGATGGCATCCAGATAGGAACAGAAAGACTCAGCACTGCTTGATGAGAGTGGTGGCAAGGGCTCTGCCCACAGCACTACATGCCATAAACTCTCACTGCTAAGGAATTTGTACAAGAGATAGAGAGAGACTGTTGAGAAGCTCCCAGCTGAAACTGCAGGGCTCAGCTGAAAGGGTGACCAGATCTTGGGGAGGACCCTCTGGACAAATACAGCTAACAGCATCGTAGCATATGAAGATGATGAAGCCTTCAAAGTAGAAAATGCACTGTTCCCCTCAAGACTGGAGAAGGTGTCTGCTGCATTCCAGGATTACAACTTCATTTGACTATCAAATGTGAGTAGGATGCATCAGAGATGTGGGGGAGAATATGTTATGCATATAGCCTTTTACTTCATAATCATCCCCATGATCAGAAAAAGAGGTTCAAGAGCTAGTGCCAAAAGTATCTTCTCCTTGTAAGTGAGAGTGAGATTTTCTCACAGTTTTTTCTCAAAAAGATGCACAACTCACCTTATTTTCACTTTTTTTCTTTGACACTCTGGTGATATACTGATTTTTCCCCAACTATGAGTTTTCAAAGGTCTAATTCTGAGTTGTCAGGTCTGGACTTGAACAGACATCCAAATATGTTTCCCAACTATGGAGGTTACACAACATAACAGGGTAACAGTGTCAGCACTCAAGATTTTAAAAATGCAAGCATGATCATAACATATATTGTGTCTTATTCCTTCAGTTTCAGGTGCCATGTATGTTATTCACTTAACGAAGTAGAAAGTAAGAAGTCAGCAAAGTGACCCAGAACTGGAGGAGAAGCAGGATGGCTTTTAAAGGATTGAACAAGACCATGAGAGCCTGGGCTCTCCAAAAGGAGAGACATGGATACCCAGGAACAGACATGACGGGAATCTGGATGAAGGCACTGAAAAAGCACAGTAAGTGACAGAGGCACACAGTGTTTTCCTCCATAAACCAGGATATTCATTCTTCTTCTTCAAGGGGGGATGTCAGAGCCTAGCAGAAAGGTGATCACCCCAGCAGGGACCATGCAGCCATGGCTGGTGAGCCAGGTGTGTTTGCTCAGCCAGGTCACAAGGGACACCTGGGGACATGCAGACCTGCCCTTAGCTCTAGCTCACAAAGACCAAAAGATGCCGAGGGGAGTCACTGAAAAAGGGCTGGGGCCTGCAGGTAACTCCATGAAATAAAAAGCAGAATTCCCACATTCACTTCTTTCCTGTCTAAAACCAACCTTCCTTGTCTGCTTCACCCCCAGCAAGAGTGATTTAGACTCTCTCCCCACTTCCTCCTCAAACTGCTCAGATGAGATGACATATTTCTCTTCCCAGAGCACTATGGGCCTGCAAGGGGAGTTAGGGGAGGAGAAAAGAGATGAGCAGGGAGGCTTCAGGGATTCAGCCATGAGAAATGACTGCCGTATGTATTACAGAAGCTCCTAAGAAAACTCAACCCCCAGATTAGCGTAGTTACTCCGGTGCTCAGAAAGTATAATTTCCCCATTTATAACTAAAGGAACTGAGGGTCAAAGGTTATTTTTTTTTCACAGCAAAGACATGCTTGAGGTGCCAGTCCCTCTGGCCTGTAGAGGCAAAAGCAACTTTTGCTGAATTCATTTCCTGAGCAGGTGAGTAAAAGTTTGAAACTAGAGAGAGGTGTCAACAGGAATGACAGTGCATGACAAATGGCCACAAAAATAATCATGATAGTTTCTGAGTAAATTGCAAAAGGTTCTTCTAAGTCCTTGGGACCTCAGGAAAGGAGAGAAGATAACATAAACCGAAGAAGCAATCAGTAAGTACTGAGGGGCAGTTTCAGCTTTATGAATGTGTGGTTCTGTAAGCTGCAGGCCATTTCCTCCCCCTCCCACTATCTCTTGACAAGGTATGGATTGAGGCTAACAACATGGACAGATCTCAATAGCCATGCCTGTCCGTAGCTCTAATGCATGAACCGACTATTACAATTAACTACAAATCGTGTGTAAATCACACATCCTGATTCTGACAAACCTTCCTCAGCTTAGGATGAAGATGAGACATTCCAGAAGTACTTTCCTGTGGAAGAACTCACAGCTTCATGGAAATAGCACATCCACAAACAGAGAAATCATATCTATTACCAGAGAAGCATGAAAGGGCCTTAAGGAGTCTGGATTACTCTGTGAATATATGAATAAGCAAAGGACTTTATTATTTAGGAAAAAGGGGTGGTGTTCTGAGTGAACAAGCACATCAACATTGCAAATGTCTGCATGTGAAATAGTCACCATAGCTGCCTTTTAACCCAGCAGAAACAGAAATATGACAGCAATGGAGAGAAACAGGCACCCTCATGGGTTTATTTCAGATGAATCTCTCCCTAAAAATACCCTTCAATCTCCATTGACTACAGGTAGGCAGGTTCCCCATCTGGACTAGTCTTATATCTTCAGTCTCTTTTTTAAGCTTCAATAGACTAAAAACGGAAATGTAGGATTAGAAATAGTTTTAACTAACCTGAGTTAATGCTGAAGAGAACGTGAGTAATCAATTTATTTGCTCTCTGGTCCTCATTTTCTCATTCATTAAGCTGGCTCAGATTAATAGAAAACAAAATATCAGGAAAAATGCAAGAGACATCAGAAATGAGGCAAGAGACAGGATTTTCTGGATTCATGAGCACTGAAAGACATTACACAACAAGCAACAGATTAAGCATAGCTATTTCATTTATTCAGTACACGGCAGTTTTACATTAATGCTAGGGTATAAAGAAGATTTCGCCTCAAGGTGGTGCTCCTCTTCTGAGTTGGTCTTCAGGCAGTTTCTCACGTGCCCTGGACTTCAGGTTTTTATATAAATATATAAACATTTACATCATTTTCTAGAGCAGGCATCTCTAGACTGGCATCTGATGACTTTGGGGTGCTTTTTTTCTCTCTTCTGTCTGTAGGTGACCAGCTTTCCTGAAGTTCATCATCCAGAACTGTGCACAACACCCCAGCTAAGGCTAGCCCACACACTGAGGGTTTGTTTGGCATGGCTAGAAGGTTATGCTCCTGTTTATGCATTCCACTAAGATCCCTGTAATTTTGATGAGAGTAGGATACTGTCATCTCATGTTCAACCTATGCTCCAGTACACATGGAGTTGCTATTGGGGCTTTCTGCATTTTTCTTTCATATTAAATTAATTTCAGCATAAGTTACTCTATGCCATGCTCATACTGTGATGTCAGTGGGATTTCAACCTGCATGACAGCCAGTAAGCAAGCCAAACTTCCTTAAGTATTCTGTTAAGGACAAAAAAGACCACATAGTAACCAAAGATGGCCTCTTGTCTCCTGTCTCAGTTTTTACACTGGAACATTCATCTGTTTTTCCTCTAGGTGTTGTCAGGGGACAGAATGAGCAGGAAAGAAGGTTTACTGATAAAGACTAGAGAATGGCAGCTGGAAAAGCAGGAGGATGCTCTGGCGCTTTGTGGTGGAGAGAGTTACTGGCTGGCAGCAGCCCAGGTGTGCTGAATGGAGGCAGAGGGAAACTGCTGAGAGCACAGCTGGATCCTGGAGATAAGGCCATAGCAGAGAGAGGAGTCCCTCTCTGCTCATGGCACAGGCAGCCATGAAGTGACAACAGAGCCCAAGGAATTACCTCCTCAGGCTCTACGACCTCATACTTTCTGCAGGTCCCCATATATCATGTTAGCATCTCTCCCTCGCACGACCTTCTCATTCTGACAGCTCATCTTAGTCAAGGATCAATCTGCCTTTGATTCCTTCCTTCCTAACCCTTTAGGTGACTCTCAGTGTGTGCATACACAGCTACAATTTCAACAAAAGAGTGCATGGACAGCTCAGACAATAGTGGTAATTACAGAGGGTTAAAAAATTCATCAGCAAAAATAGATTTCAGAGCCTGCATTTTTTTTTCTTGGTGGAACATTTCTGTTCTGGTAGAAACATGCTGTGACATAAATATAGGTTCAAATTGCAAATGAGTTTATATTAGAGAAGCAAAGGACTGAAATTAGATGAGAAAATCATTCAGAGTGGACACCTATTTATAATTGTAAATTCAAGGCAACACATTTTCTTGGGGTTGCTGTTGGAGATGCGCTGTCTGTCATGCCACCACTGCCATCAATCTAAAGCCTTGTTTCTTTGAGCGTTCTATGTGGGCTGTTCTGAAGGCCTCTCATTGCTTTCACCCCTCTACACAGCTGGTGGCATCTTTTTTTGAAAAGGAGTGCCTTGAATTTAAGAGCATTTCACCTGAGTCCTTGCCATGCAGCGTGGTGGAAACTTTCTATCAATTTACTTAACACGGCTGTTCGGACAGCTAGGGTAGAATTAGCACCTCCTTTCCTGTAGAACTGCTGCCTAGTCAGTCACTCTCACTCACACCTTTGTGGAGCTGATTATTCTCATGTTAGCATAATATATTGTACCTGTGTTTATTTTGAATTCTATCCTCACCCTCTAATGTTCTTCAGCTTCTCCCAGGTTGGTGTCATCTAT